TGGCCTCCATACGCTGGATCCCCCTTGTTCTCCGTGGACCCTTGTGTTTGTATGTGTGTGTATGTTTAATATGTTCTATTTTATGTCTTACTAGCCATCCCCTACCACGCGTTGCTGTGGCCAACTCTGGTGGTGATGGGGGTTCTGTGTGGGAGGTTTGGCCCAATTCTATCGTTGGTGGGGTTCAGAATGCTCTGTGTTTGTAGGTGAACTACAAATCCCAGCAACTACAACTCCCAAATGTCAAGATTCTATTTTCCCCAAACTCCACCAGTGTTCACATTTGGGCATAATGAGTCTTCGTGTAGAGTTTGGTCCAAACCCATCATTGTTTGAGTCCACAGTGCTCTCTGTAGGTGAACTACAACTCTAAAACCAAAGGACACTGCCCACCAAACTCTTCCAGTATTTTCTGTTGGTCATTGGAGAACTGTGAACCAAGTTTGGTTCAATTCCATCGTTGGTGGGGTTCAGAATGCTCTTTGATCGTAGGTAAACTATAAATCCAGCAACTACAACTCCCGTATGACAAAATCATGTTTTTTTTAGTGAAGGACATACATTGGGTTGTTAGGTGTCTTGTGTCCAAATTTGGTGTCAATTTGTCCAGTGGGTTTTTGAGTTCTGTTAATCCTACAAACGAACATTACATTTTTATTTATATAGTGGAGGGTCAAACCACCGATCCAGCTCTGGTAACCTTTCACCTGCACCATCTGACCTTGAAGTCCCTTCCAGTGCTTCCTGGTCATCACCACAATGGATACAAGCACCCATCATCTCAGGGGCAATCCATCACTATTGCCCCATAAACCCAAATTCGCTTAGGACAATAGGATCTAGATGCCGGGCCACCTGTCCTTTGTGCAGCTACTTGGACATGACAAAAGACATCTATCATCTGGCATTTTATTCCCTGATACTGGGATGACTTGCCCCGCTTTCCACAATTATATTTCCTCATTCCCAGGACTGGATTTGCTAATCCTGTCACTTTGAAGAATATACTGTATGGACTATAATGGACATGGGTGCCTTGGGTCACTCACCAACACAAAGGAACACTCAATAGAACGCATGCGACCTGATGGCCTTTTATGTTTTGTCCCTAGGCTGGGACAACAATAATCCATTCAGAATACTTTGCATTATTTTGTCTCCTGGACCGTCTTGCTCACTGTTAGCCATTGGAGAGCGGGAATCTGCATTCGAAGCGGAGAACACTCCCTGATTGGCTGGCAGACGCTGTAGTCCTGCCTCCTGGAGGGAAACCTCCCAGCCGGCTATGATGTCAAAGCTGGCTTCGCCAATCAGGGTGAAGCTGGCTCCAGCTGAGACGTGAGTGGGAAAAACAAAGGATTTGAATGTATAAAAATTTATGCTTTGCTTGTATTAGGGATCTCGGATTGCTCAGATTGCTCCAGGCACTGCCAGGCAATCAAATGCTAATTAAGGTGGTCAGTTGAAATATTCACACCTAGCTCCAGCAGACAAAAGTCCTTTGTCCCACCCTGGTCATTCCACAGATATATAAACCCCTTTTTTCTAGTTCCAACAGACCTCACTACCTCTGAGGATGCTTGCCATAGATGCAGGCGAAACGTCAGGAGAAAATGCCTCTAGACCATGGCCATATATCCCCAAAAAACCTACAACAACCCAGTGATTCCGGCCATGAAAGCCTTCGACAATACAGATCTCAGCTTCTTTTAGTGGCTTACCGCAAGTTGTCATCTTTTCCAGCTGGACTGAAATAAAATACCTCGGCGGCTTTCTCTTCAACTTGGTGAGATTTTTTGATTGGGAACATTGGGTTTAGCTTCTTTGTCTCACCAGGTACATGGATCCACAGGCAGCCTGCTGCCGATACCGGCTACCCACTTAAAGGGACTTTGTATCCACACCTCGGGTTTCGCTATCCACGGCCAGGCTTTCACTATCTGTGCCTGCTTTAAATTCATTGCAAAGGTTTCTAGCTTGAAAGAAATAATACAGGAGTAATTTTATTTGTTTGTTTGTTTGTTTCCTGCCTCGTGATGGCTCAGTATTGTAATATGGGCCATACCTTGCTGCAGGTAAACATTTTTGGCAGTTCAGGATGCTTCTTGTTTATGTGTATAGTATTAAATGACATAAAATGTAACACATCACACTAGGTAGGTGTGCAAATATAAAATATACAGGTGTGTTGTAGCGACATATGCTGCTCATCTGAATTATACTTAACAGTTTTGAAGCTCTTTCAGTGCCGCACCCCAGAAAATTGCCTAGAGACACCACTTTTAATTCAGTCAATTATGTTTACGATGGGGATGGTGGTAAGATTTGTAGTTAAACAGACACCTGCAGGGCCGTAGGTGAGGGAAGCCTGGCTTATCTATATGTATAAAAGTCAAAGAATGTATGTTTGACAATCCCACAAAGGCTGTTGCTAGGTGAAGTGGCCCTTTGTGATGTCACATGGTCCATGTGTATGAAGGGGAGGAAGGAAGGAAGGAAGGAAGGAAGGAAGGAAGGAAGGAAGGAAGGAAGGAAGGAAAGAACTAGGAAGAGAGCCATGTTACCATGGAAATATTAGGAGGTAGACCTCCTAAAAGCTAGAGAAGGGAGAAAGAGGAGGGGGAGGAAAGAAAGAAAAAGAAGGGGAAAAAGGAAGGAAGGGGAAGAAAGACAAAGGAGGGATGAAAGAAAAGAAACAAAAAATAAATAAATGCAGAGGGACAGCTGCACCCCTGACACCCAAGGGATGCTGGGTGTGGGCCCCCTGGAAGTCGAGGTGCTTCCTGTAGCTCATGGCTTTGGAGTTGGCGGCAACAACAGGGGTGGCATCGGGGAGCCAGCTGGGCTCCATGTTGAGTTTATGAGGGCAAAAAGGGATATTCCCCGGGGCGGAGAGGTTAGCGGAGCAAAAGCAAGATAGCCATTAGTCTTAGAATTTGCCCAGAAGAAAAATGGCACCGATTTTGAAGCGATCAGTTGACTCGCGGATACGGGGACCTGATGGGTTTCCGTATCCGTGGTTCAGAGGAACGCAGTTTTGGCCGGCCCGGGAGGCAAAAATCACATCCTGGGTGGGCCAGCAGCCATCTGCAGCCTGGCAGAGGGAAAGCTCATGCAGGGAAGAGTTTGGAGGCAGTAAAAGACACAAAGTAACACTAGGAAGAGGAAATAGTTACAATTAATTGATACTTTATTGGGGGGATGAATTACAATATTAGAAGGGGGAAGAAGATGAGGCAAAAATAAGGTTTCTTTGTTGTAGCTGCTGCTGTGGTCACGTTTCATAGAAGCTGCCCAAAGCGGGCACATAGAGAACTGTGAACTTCCTACTGCAGGTCAGATTAGCTGGAAGGCAGGGAGTTCTGGGTTCGTTGACCTCAATTCCATCTGAACATGAGGAAGAACTTCCTGTGAGAACTGTTCAGCAGTGGAACTCTCTGCGTGGAGTGTGGTGGAGGCTCCTTCTTTGGAAGATTTTAAACAGAGGCTGGATGGCCATCTGTCAGGGGTGCTTTGAATGCAATATTTCTGCTTCTTGGCAGGGGGTTGAACTGGATGGCTGCGAACTGTTCCGCAGTGGAACTCTCTGCTTCGGAGTGTGGTGGAGGCTCCTTCTTTGGAGGCTTTCAAGCAGAAGCTGGATGGCTATCTGTCGGGGGGTACTTTGAATGCAGTTTTCCTGCTTCTTGGCAGGGGGTTGGACTGGATGGCCCTGACCGTGAGAACTGTTCGGCAGTGGAACTCTGCACTGGAGTGTGCTGGAGGCTCCTTCTTTGGAGGCTTTTAAGCAGAGGCTGCAGTGGCCATCTGTTGGGAGGTGCTTTGAATGCAATTTTCCTGCTTCTTGGCAGGAGGTTGGACTGGATGGCCCATGACGTGAGACCATTCAGCAGTGGAAACTCTCTGTGCTGGAGTGTGGTGAAGGCTCCTTCTTTGGAGGCTTTTAAACAGAGGCTGGATGGCCATCTGTCGGGGTGCTTTGAATGCAATTTTCCTGCTTCTTGGCAGGAGGTTAGTCTGGATGGCCCTGACTCTGAGAACTGTTCAGCAGTGGAACTCTCTGCGTTGGAGTGTGATGGAGGCTCCTTTTTTGGAGGCTTTCAAGCAGAAGCTGTATGGCCATCTGCCGGGGGTGCTTTTGAGTGCGATTTTCCTGCTTCTTGGCAGGAGGTTGGACTGGATGGTCCTGACTGAGAACTGTTCAGCAGTGGAACTCTCTGCAGCGGAGTGTGGTGAGGCTCTTTCTTTGGAGACTTTTAAGCAGAAACTGGATGGCCATCTGTCTGGGGTGCTTTGAACGTGATTTTCCTGCTTCTTGGCAGGAGGTTGGACTGGATGGCTCATGAGGTCTCTTCCAACTCTATGATTCTATGAGTTTGTTTTTTTTTGTCATGTCAGTAGCGACCTGAGAAACTGCAAGTCGCTTCTGGTGTGAGAGAATTGGCCGTCTGCAAGGACGTTGCCCAGGGGATGCTTGGATGATTTGATGTTTTATCATCCTTGTGGGAGGCTTCTCTCATGCCCCCACATGAGGAGCTGGAGCTGATAGAGGGAGCTCATCCGCCTCCCCTGGGTTCGAACCTGCGACCTGTCGGTCTTCAGTCCTGCCAGCACAGAGGTTTAGAGTGTAGAGTTGTTTAGGTTGTAGAGTGTGTCTACAGCAGTGCTTTCCAAATATTTAATGTTGGTGATGTGGGCATTCATACAGTAGAATTAATGCAGATTTGATACCAGTATGAACTGTCATGTTTTGGAATCAAGGTGGAGTTGTGCAAGGTCTTGGGCCTTTTCTGCCAAAGAGTGCAAACCAAAGCACAGCTCCCATAGGGAAACCCTAGGAAGGTAAGAAGTAAACACAAGCAGCGCCGCGCCTGCGTTGCATAAGTGAAGGTTCAGTGGAAGAGGGGGGCGGGGCCCAAAGGGCTTTGGCGGCTTCCTATTGGCCCTGGGCCTCTTGGAGCTGAACTCCGATTGGGTGTGGCTTGGAGCCGGTGCAGCCGGGCGGGGAGAGTGTCAGCGCCGGAGGGCAGAAGGGGCGGGGAATGGGGAGCCGCGCGAGCGTGAGGGGAGAGCGCCTCGAGGAGCGGACGCAAGGAGAGGAAGCGGGTGAGCCAATGGGGGAGCCGGGCGGGGGGGAGGAGGGGGAAATAAGGAAGTTACCCGGATGTACGCCCACCCACCCCCTTTTGGAAATGGGACCCTTAAGGCAGGGCTTCTTCTCTCCCTGTGGAAAGTAGTGAGGAAGGGTCAAGTCAGGGGGGGATGAACCTGGATCTCCCACAAGGGCTGGGAGAAGCATCTACACCCCAGGATTGGAGACCCCTTGAACTTCCCTGGCTCAAGGCCTCCTGGGCCAAAGACTACAAATCCCACAAAGACTACAAATCCCACAGCCTTGAGCCAGGGCGGTGAAAGGGTGCGTCTGCACTATACAATTGATGTGGCTTGATACCATAATAACAGCCATGGCTCAAGGCTAGGGGATCTTATGAGGTGTAGTGTGGTGAGGCATCAGCACTCTTTGGTAGAATTATTATTATTATTATTATTATTATTATTATTATTATTCCATCTTCCTGATTGTGAGAGCTGTTCAGCAGTGGAACTCTCTGCCCCGGAGGCTCCTTCTTTGGAAGCTTTTAAACAGAGGCTGGATGGCCATCTGTCGGGGGTGCTTTGAATGCAATTTTCCTGCTTCTTGGCAGGGGGTTGGACTGGATGGCCCGTGAGGTCTCTTCCAACTCTATGATGCTATTTATTTATTTGTACTCTGCTCAAGAAGAGGCTCAAGACTTTGTAGAATCCAGAAGAGGCTCAAGATTGTGTGAAATCCAGAAGAGGCTCAAGATTTTTATAAAACCCAGAAGAGCCTCAAGATTTTTATAAAATCCATAAGAGCTTCAAGATGTTTACAAAATCCAGAAGAGACTTGAGATTTTTATAAAATCCAGGAGAGGTTCAAGATTTTGTAAAATCCAGAAGAGCCTCAAGACGTTGCAAAATCCAGAAGAGGCTCGAAACAATGTAAAATCCAGAAGAGGCTCAAGGCTTTGTAACATCCAGAAGAGCCTCAAGCTTTGTATAAAATCCAGGAGAGGTTCAAGACTTTGCAAAATCCAGAAGAGGTTCACGGCTTTGTGAAATCCAGAAGAGCCTCGAAACTTTGCGAAATCCAGAAGAGCCTCGAGACAATGTAAAATCCAGAAGAGGCTCGGGACTTTGTAAAATCCAGAAGAGCCTCAAGACTTTGCAAAATCCAGGAGAGGTTCAAGGCTTCGTAAAATCCAGAAAATGCTCAAGACTTCGTAAAATCCAGAAGAGCCTCAAGACTTTGCAAAATCCAGAAGAGCCTCAAGCTTTGTATAAAATCCAGGAGAGGTTCAAGACTTTGCAAAATCCAGAAGAGCCTCAAGTCTGCGAAATCTAGAAGAGCCTCAAGATCTTTATAAAATCCAGAAGAGGTTCAAGACTTTATGAAATCCCAATTGCTATGATTCCATGGCATTGAAGGATGGCATATCAATCTACAGTGCAGATGCACCCTTGCACTGAGAATGTGGGGCAGCTCCTTTTCCCCTGGCTCTGAGGCTGGATCTACATTGCCCTGTATCCCAGGATCTGATCCCAGATGATCTGCTTTGAATTGGATTATATGAGTCTACACTGCCAGATAATCTGGGATCAGATCTTGGGATATAGGGCAGTGTAGATCCAGCCTGAGGTTCTGGAGTGAACCCATGCCAGACCCTGGGTGTGTGGACAGAGCATTGCAGGTCAGGAGGTTGCTCTGCCCCAGTTTGGGAGCCCAGGGCCAGACCTGAATGACTGGGCAAAATGCTTCAGTTTTTTCCTTGTCTTGTTAGCTTCCCCTTTCTCTTCCCTTGGCACTTCTGCTTAGGCACTCTGCAACTTCCTATCTTATGCAAGTCTGAAAAGATCACCATCCTTCTAAGCTGTAGATCCATCTTAGAGGCAGAGTGTGCAAAAGTTTTTGACTACAGAATATCTGGAAATATTATTATTAGGGCTTATTTGTTAGTGTTATTTGGCAGGGATAGAGGAAAGTAATGGGGTGGGAATATTTTATGGGGTTATTTTTTTGTATTAGGATGCCTTTGTTTGGGTTGCTGTGAGTTTTTTTGGGCTGTATGGCCATGTTCGAGTAGCATTGTCTCCTGATGTTTCACCTGCATCTGTGTCAGGCATCCTCAGAGGTTATGCCTTTGCTCATAACCTCTGAGACCTCACAACCTCTGAGGATGCCTGCCATAGATGCAGGCAAAACGCCAGGAGAGAATGCTTCTGGAACATGGCCATATAGCCCAAAAAACCTACAACAACCCAGTGATTCCAGCCATGAAAGCCTTCGGCAAAACATTATTCCTTTGCTTGTTTGTTTGTTTGTTATTTGAGTGTCTGTGTTTGTTTTTTTTTAAATGTGTCTGAAAAATATCACAAAATATTAATTTAAAAGAAAGAATACTTGGCAAATGATCATCATGGAATATATAGTCCAATATGTGTTTTTTWAAAACTTTTCAGGAAATTCTAATAAAATGTTAATTGACAGAAGAATATTGGCACATGGCCATCTTGGAATATGTAGCCCCAAAAAGTTACTTTTGCCGCCTCGGCTGGTGACTCAGGCCATCCCTGAGTTGCGAACATCCGACTTACAAATGACTCATAGTTAAGAACAGGGCTCAGACAACAGGAAGTGAGACAGATCTACCCCTTGGAAGGGGAATTCACTCCTGAAAGAGTTATTATCATGGGAAAAAGATATCTCCACTGAAGCTTTATCACCAATCCTTGCTTCCACAAGAAGCCAAGTATTATTATTRTTRTTGTTGTTGTTGTTGTTATTATTATTATTATTATTATTATTATTATTATTATTATTATATATAAATTCAACTTAAGAACAAACCTGCAGAACTGATCTTGATTGTAACTAGAGAACTGCTTGTCCACTCAAGGCTATATTTTCTGAACATTTGCCTTTCTTCTTCTTCTTTATATCTCCTCCGTTTTCCCTTCTGTCTTTTTTTGGGTCGTCCTTTAGAAAATAATTTGTGTGTAAAGCACTCCAAAAGGCCTTTTTAAGATGAAGCATAGAGTTTTTAAAAATCTATAAATGTAAACACTAAAAAAAATGTGTGCTGCTTCCTCTTGAAACTCCTTGGTACAAACTAAGCGGAGCTGTCTTGCAAGCTAGGACTTGTGCCTTGGAGACCGATGGAGCTTTGCTGCCGCCACTTAAGTGATGCTACCTGTGCCATGGAAGGTGCGCTGCTCACCCAGGCAGCACCTTCAACCAGGGCTGGGCAGGGAGGGCAGAGAGGGCACACAGTTGGGAGGAGCCTCACCTGGCCTGCCCTTTTTCTCCCCAGGAAACAACAAAGCTGCCAACATGAGTCGGAGCCCTCGTCAACCGCAGGAGGAGCTTACCCAAGCAGACATCTGTGGGATGCTGCGAGAAGAGCTGTGCCAGGGGAATGACTTCCTCAAGTCATATACCCACATCTTCATCATCTTGGGGGCTTCGGTGAGTTTCCTCCTTCTGAGCCGGGCTGGGCTTCATGGAAAATGGGTACGAGCTTGAGACCCCGTCTTCGGGCAGGGGTTAGAGATGCGTGGCCCTCTAGTTGTTGTTGGACTCCAATATCTATGCCCAGATATTGGTGAATTTAATTTCAACAATACCTAGAAGGCTAAACAATTTCTGTCATTGGGTTGTTGTAGGTTTTTTTCGGGCTATATGGCCATGTTCTAGAGACATTTTCTCCTAATGTTTTGCCTGCATCTATGGCAAGCATCCTCAGAGGTAGTGAGACCTCACAACCTCTGAGGATGCATGCCATAGATGCAGGCAAAACGTCAGGAGAAAATGCCTCTACAACATGGCCATATAGACCGAAAAAACCTACAACAACCCAGTGACTCCGGTCACGAAAGCCTTCGACAATACAATTTCTGTCATTGTTTCAAGTTTGGTATTTTGAATTTTCTTTATAAATTATCCAGCATAAATTAAGAGAACCAGTATGGTGTAGTGGTTCAAGCATTGGATTACAACTCTAGAAACCAGGGTTTGAATCCCCGTTCAGCAGTGAAATGCACTGGGTGACTTTAGGTAAGTCACAGTCTCTCGGCCTCAGATGACAGTACTAGCAAACCTCTTCTGAAATCTTGCCAAGAAATCCCTGTGATAGATTTGCCTTAGGGTCACCATAGGGAACACAACACAACAAAGTGCATTAGAGCTTAAACCCTGCTCCCCACAGAGAGGGAATCTGGGTGTCAAAGCTATATAATCTGTGGGGGAGGCTCTTTCTTTGGAGGCTATTAAACAGAGGCTGGATGGCCATCTGTTGGGGTGTTTTGAATGGTGAAAGGGTGGCCTGCACTGTACAATTGATGCGGTTTGATACCATAACAAGAGCCATGGCTCAAGGCTATGGGATCTTACGAGGTGTAGTGTGGTGAGGCATCAGCACTCTTTGGTAGAATTATTTTTTTATTATTATTATTATTGTATTTCCATCTGAACATTAGGAAGAACTTCCTAACTATGAGAGCCGTTCAGCAGTGGAACTCTCTGCCCTGGGGTGTGGTGGAGGCTCCTTCTTTGGAAGCTTTTAAACAGAGGCTGGATGGCCATCTGTTGGGGGTGTTTTGAATGCAGTTTTCCTGCTTCTTGGCAGGGGGTTGGACTGGGTGGCCCATGAGGTCTCTCTTCCAACTCTATGATTCTAAGGCAGATAATCCACAATATCTGCTTGGAACTGGGTTATCTGAGTCCACACTGCCATATAATCCAATTCAATGTGGATTTTATACAGCTGTGTAGAAGGGGCCAGAGTGTTATATAGTCACCAGTTAAAACTACATAGGATTAAAGGATAGGCTCAGAATAGATGGTGGTGGCCAGAAGAACAAAGAATTTCCCTTTGAGTGGATCATATGAATCGAAGCGATCGAGATGGGTTCCCAGCTCCATGTCATAAATGGTATTCATGTTAATTTCTTATCCATAGGTCTGAGGTGCTTTTCTATTTGAGATGCTCAGAGCATCTCATGTTCAGTTTATTTGGAGTTTTTACTCTGTTAGTCAGCTGAACAATAAAAGGAATGAATTATAAAGGGACAGGCAGAGAAAAATACGTAGTCAGGCTTTTGACATGAAAAGATTGACACAGAGTGTAATGTCTATTTTGACTCACTGGCATTTATAATTATGTTTAAAGTGTTTGAGTCACTCTAAGCTGGTACAAGAGCATCTCTTCTTTCTCGCCTCATATTTCTCCCTCTTTCACTCATCTTGATGGGGAAAACAACCCTGAATAGCTTGGATTGTACCTTGGATATTCAAAACAAAAGCTGAATCATTTCATAGGATGGATATTGCATTCATCTAGATAGCTTTAGATATGGTTATAAATTTCTACCATACAGTACCAGGAATATTGTATTATTCGGCAAGGAGTTCAGAAAATAATCGTTTCCTCTGGAAGTGAGTTTTCTGGGCTCTTTAAGGCAGAATTTCATGTGGCTGCTGTTGAAAATGGCATATTTGTATCATGTTTTCCCCCTTAAATGTTGGCTCATTTGTGCTCTTATGACTGTATATGTTTTCCTGCTAGCAACACCAAACTATATGGGAGGTACAGAGGTATGTGATCATGTTACATAGGAGAGTTACATATTACAGAGGATATATTCACAATAATAATAATAATCTTTATTTATACCCCACCACGATCTCCCCAACAGGGGCAGCTTACATGAAGCCAAGCCCAGACAACATATTACAGCAAAATAAAACCAAAAACATAACCAACAAGCAACAGCATCATAATGGCATAAGAACATATGAATACAATCTATATAAATAAAAATGTAATGTTCGTTTGTGGGATTAACAGAACTCAAAAACCACTGGATGAATTGACACTAAATTTGAACACAAGACACCTAACAACCCAATGTATGTCCGTCACTCAAAAGAATTGATTTTGTCATTTGGGAGTTGTAGTTGCGGGGATTTATAGTTCACCTACAATCAAGGGTTTGGTGGGCAGTGTCCTTTAGTTTTGGAGTTGTAGTTCACCTACATCCAGAGAACACTGTGGACCCAAACAATGATGGATCTGGACCAAATCCTACACAAACACTCAATATGCCCAAATATGAACACTGGTGGAGTTTGGGGAAAATAGAATCTTGACATTTGGAAGTTGTAGTTGCTGGGATTTATAGTTCACCTACAATCTAAGCCCCATCAACAATAGAATTAGGCCAAACCTCCCACACAGAACCCCCATGACCACCAGAATGGGCCACAGCAACGCATGGCAGGGGACGGCTAGTAACAATATAACATTACAATACAGTAAAACGTGGTGAATAAGGAATGACCAAAAAATATGGCTTTTTTTCTCTTTTTGAAATTTTTCTTATCCCTTTTGGTAGCTCCTGTTTTATGGTGGGCAAGCAAAGAAACAAGTCAGGCAAGCCCTCATTGTACATTCAGGAGTCACAACAAGGCATACTTCAAACACAGGCCATAAACAGATTATAGATTCATATCATGGTGTATGGCTGCTTAACAAACTGTAACTAGTTGCCTAGGTGGGTTGGAAAGCTCCATAAAGCGGATTACATTAAGGCGTTAGTGTAAAGGAACATGGTTGGGAGGGAGAAATAATATTTTCCTAGACAGATTCTAGTTACAGAGAATTATCTTTTACATGTCATTCCTTGACTGAGCTCTTTCCTATCTCTCTCTGTTGATCTGTCTTTTGTCCCGCTCCTACATCATTTTTGTTCTCACTGTGGTACCCAGACTGGCATCTTCCTGCCAAGTGCTGAGTTACTCAGTGATGCAGACCTTGTGCCTGGTGACAGGATGCTGGTATGGCCTGAATACCAGCAACAGGTTGATCAACCATGCTGGCCTGAAGCAACCATGATTTGCCTTCTTTCCATTTGTGTCAGTGTCTCCTTGAGGTTGGGCAACCCAGCTGCACACAGTGTGTAATCTACCTTCCTTCTGGTCAAAGGGTAGGGGTGTTTCTGAGCATGCTTGAGGGGGTAGGTAGCTAATCCTGAGATATCTTCTTGGGTTTAGTAATGTGTCAGTAATATGGTGCCAGTAAAGATCAGCCTAAAGAAGCTTGGATCCCCGCAGAGCTTTGTTTAGTACTTTTTGTAATTGCAAACAGCTCTCTGCAGACAATGTGGAAATTTTTATCTGATGGGGAGCAATTCATGTGGAAATACCAACCCATTACACTCACAAAATTGTGGAGGTGAGAATGTGCTCTTGAGTCATTTCCTGCATTGTATATTTGTGTAATCTGATTTGCATTCATAAGTAGGGCCACGTGCATTTTTTAATATGAGACACAGTAAAGAAATTGAATTGGTACCATCTTGTCAGAATAAAGTTCAGTGGCATTCCAGAGATCACTATAAAATACAGCTTTAGGTGTATTTTCATTGTGTCCCAAAGAAGATGTGTACTATCTTTAATGTAAAAAAGAGAGATACTGAAGATTGGGGTCCTTCCACACAGCACCCTATCCCAGAATATCAAGGCAGAAAATCCCACATTATCTGAGTGTGGACTCAGATAACCCAGTTCAAAGCAGATATTGTGGGATTATGGTCTGTGGGTTTTTTCGGGCTATAGGGCCATGTTCTAGAGGCATTTCTCCTGACGTTTCGCCTGCATCTATGGCAAGCATCCTCAGAGGTAGTGAGGTCTGTTGGAATTAGGACAATGGGTTTATATATCTGTGGAATGGCTGGGGTGGGGCAAAGAGCTCTTCTCTGCTGCAGCTAGGTGTGAATGTTTCAACTGACCACCTTCATTAGCATTTGAAGGCCTGGCTGAGCCTGGGAAAATCTTTTGTTGAGAGGTGTTAAGATGTGCCTGGTTGTTTCCTCTCTGCTGTTTTGCTGTTGTAATTTTAGAGTTTTTTAATACTGGTAGCCAGATTTTGTTCATTTTCATGGTTTCCTCCTTTCTGTTGAAATTGTCCACATGCTTGTGGATTTCAATGGCTTCTCTGTGTAGTCTGACATGGTGGTTGTTGGTGGGATTTTCTGTCTTGATATTCTAGGATATAGGGCTGTGTGGAAGGGCCCTGAGAGGCATCCTTCGATGGGTTATGGGTTGAAAACACTGTTTTATGTTTTGTTTTTGGGGTGTATAGGCAGTAGTTTTTCAATGCTGAGTAAAATGCACTTTTCACATAGTCAAAAGTATTTAACATGAATAATATTTAATGTGATATTTCTGTTTAATGAAAGGAATAGGCCAGAAATTAGAGGGGTGACACTTAAGTTGGAATGGTTGAGAGATAAGAGGCGAAGTCCCAAAACAAAGACCTTCACCAGGTAGTATTTTGTGGCATTTACAGTATATACTCAAGTATAAGCCGAGCTGAATATAAGCCGAGGCACCTGATTTTACTACAAAAAAACTGGGAAAACTTATTGACTCGGGTATAAGCCGAGGATGGGAAATGCAGCAGTTAT